TGGAATTGTATAAGGGAGGAAGCCAACTGTACTATATGCTTCCTGGGTTAATCTTTAATCTTGTTCCATCCCTAAGAGAAGGCAAAGAATAAGTAAATTGTGACACTCTTTCATGTTTGTATCTTGACATAGTCCTCAGCTTCCCTCATCTTTTGGAATACTAGTTCCCTTACAATGGCTGGACCTTTATTACATCCAATTTCAATTCCTACAATAACTGGAAGCTTGGATCCTATGCTTCTGTGATAAGACACTTGCACTTGGTTGATTTCTTTTCATAGTGCTTTTGCTAAACAGTGAAGTTTTTATGATAGACTTCTCAAAATATGTCAGCATCTCTCATCTCTATTTTATAGTGGAGTTGTACCACAGTAGCTGCAGGGTGTTGGTTCTAGTACCCCTTACCAAAATCTGATGATGCTTAATTCCCGTAGCCAACTCTCTGTATTTGCCAGTTCCACATCCACAAATTCAACCAACCTCTGGGGGTAAACATATCATGTGAGCCACAGTTGGTTGAATCCAAGGATGCATAAATTGAAGATATGGAGGGCCAACTATATTACTAGACAGCCTATGCGTGTGCTAAGTCACTTCAGTCGTATCCGACTCTTTTCGACCTCATGGACTACTGTAGCCTGCCAGGCTACTCTGTTCATGGGATTCTCCAGGCAACAGTACTGGAGTGGGTTGCCACTCCCTTCTCCAGGGGATCTTCCCAACCCAGGGATCAAACCTGGGTCTCCTGCATTGCAGGCAGATTCTTTACCATTTGAGCCAAGGTTGGGGACAACAATGGAATAGTGTCCAAAAACCAGAGGAAGAGTTTTATGTGCTCTGACGTGGAAAGATACCCAGAGGAAATAGTTCAATTTTTTAAAAAAGGAGCAGGATATATATAATATGTCTTTTTGTGTAAGAAAGAAGATAACAGGGCTTCCTTGGTGGCTCAGTGGTAAAAAATCTGTCTGCCAGTGTAGGAGACACAGGTTTGATCCCTGGCCCGGGAGGATCCCACATGCTTCAGAGCCTGTGCTCCACAACTACTGAGCATGTGCTCTAGAGCTTGTGAGCCACAGCGACTGAGCCCATAGGCCACAAGTACTGAAGGCCACGCACACCATAGAGTCCGTGCTCCACAGCAAGAGAAGCCACCACTATGAGGAGCCCACACACCACAGCTAGAGTAGCTCCTGCTCGCTGCAACTAGAGAAAAGCCTGTGCAGCAACAAAGCCCCAGAACAGCCAAAAAAGTATTTAAAAAAGAAAGAAAAAAAAAGTCCGTGTGCACAAAGAAACTTTGGAAGGATAAAAAAAAGTCACTATTATATTAAAAATGGTTACTTACAGGGCAAAGTGAGAGAAAACAGAGAGAGGGACCTAAGTGGGAGTGATAGTTCTCATGGACCTTTTGATATGTTTTTCATTTTAAACTACATAAGTGTAATCTCTTTAAGATTGGAAATTTTAAAAATCCATACATGATTTGTTAAAATCAAAGAATACGGAGACCAGATGTTCAGTAAGTGAAAAACAAAAGGCATGCATCAGAAATATTTGGGTTTTACTTTTCTGCTCAAGCCCCTCCTCTGTTTCCATGCCCTTTTAATCTAAATAATTAAATAAATCCAAACCTTGGAGACGTTTCACGAAAATCCTGCCAAGGAAAATACCAAGAATTCAATGGCCAGAGGAGCCCTCAGTGCAATAAAGAAAAAGCCATGAAATGTTCTGGATGGCTTGAGAAGCATGTTACATTTATCATTTTTGGTTACAAAGTGTGCATGAAATATCACATTCCTCATTTTTTTCTCAATTAAATGGAATCTGCTCTGTGTCCCAAACTGCCAGACTGGAAGGAAATTCAACCCTAGTCATTAGTGGGCTCCCTCCTCCCTTCAGGAGACTGTAAAACATCAGGGGTTTAAGCAGTACCAGAAGAGCTGAGAGCAAGTCCCTGGACTTGCTAACTAGGGTAGCTGGCAGCTCAGGCTGCTGCAACAAAATACCACAGACAGGGTGGTTTAAACAACACACGTCTCTCTCTCACAGTTCTAGAGGCTGGGGAGTCCAGGTGCTGGTAGCTTTAGTGTCTGGTAAGAGTTTTCTTCCTGGTTTGCAGATGGCCACCTTCTCACTGTGTCCTCACATGACATGGTGTTGAGGGGAGGCGTACTCTGGCCTCTTCCTCCTTTTATACCGGTTCCACCCTCATGATCTCATCTAGACCTGATTACCTCCCACCCATTACAATACCATCACACTGGGGATAGGGCTTTAACACATGACTCTGGGGAAGACACAAACATTCAGTCCACAGCAGTAGCCATTGTTTCTGTTATTCCCTCTGATTTCAAAGGTCGCTGTTAACCCTGGAGCCCCCTGCGTCAGGCCCAGCATTGCCCCTTACAGATGTCCATATCACTGACTGCAGGGTTTCCGTTGGGCACCCTGGCCTATGTGCTCCCGCCTGGGAGAAATCATTTCTGTCCTCTCTGAGCATTCCCCAGCTATCATCCAGTCTGGGTATTCTCTGGACACAATTAGGGATCTAGGACTCCTCTACTCATTTCGGGGAGGGCACCACTTTTCCAGACCCCAGAGATTCTCAGCCTCTGCGGCTCAGCACATACCCACAGCCCACTTCTTTGTCTCTCAGCCTAGGTGTTTGCACATAATCCAAATGCCAACACCCACCCACTCTCTCTATACCCAAAACAGAAGCTTAGAATTGAGAGCAAAAGCTTCATAACTTTCTCAGTGGGGGAAACATACATAGCACAATAAGAACAGAACAAAAAATAATTCCACAATAAATTAGTCTGCCACAAGCCTGGCAACAAAAAGAATTCTAATGGACTGAAGAGTTGGCAAGTTCTGTAGTATCCACATTGGCAAAGTGAGTCAAGGAGATGGATTTTTACAGAACCAAGGACGTGGAGGCTCTGGTCCAGATAGCAATGAAGATGTTTCAGTTACCTATTGTTGAATAACTGCTCCAAACCTAGTGACTAAAAACAGCTTCGCTCATGATTTTACCTGTCATTTCAGCAATTCTACTCCTTTCAATGTGGACTGGGATCACTCTCAGTTGGCAGATGGGCCAGTCCAAAGTGTACAAGACAGCTTCCCTCACATTTTTGTCTCCCTAGGGGGACAACTGGGCTCTTCGGGTGTGACCACAGTGCTGGGCATGGCTGCTCCAGCATGCAGCCTCAGGGAATCTGGACTTCCTGCATGGTGGCTTGGGCTCCCAGAGAGTGTTCCAAGAGACTGGAACTGGAGGTTGCCTAGGTCTGGGAAGTAGCTCAGCATCACCTCCATCAACTTCTGTTGAACCCACTCAGATTCAAGAAGACCCCATTTCTCAATGGGAGAAGTGGCTAAAAGCATTTATCTTTAATCACCAGCAGTGGATAGAATTAGTCCCCTTCCTTCAAGTGAATCTAGGTGAGTTGAGACTTGCCTGCAGCAATGAAACTGGGGACATTGGAGACGATACCAGGAGACCAGGAGACAATATCAAGGAGACCTCCAGCTTGATCAACCGTGTCTGCCTGCTTGATGTGAGTGGCCCACCGGTCATGTTGCTGGATTTACAGATGCTGATGTTCATATACTGGAGGTCCAGCTAGTATTTTATGAAGAAGGAAGCAAATTGCAGGCTCACAATAACACAAACCCCATTTTATCCATTTTAGTTTTCACAGGAGCTGAAAAATGCATGAGATCAATCCAGGATGCCATTAAACAGTTGGTCAAATATATATATATATTGATTCACAGAAGATGTCAAAAATGAAAGAGTAAAAGTCCTTCACGATTTAAATTCTGCCCTGCCTCCCCTCCTCTTGATGAGATGGGATCAAAGATCCTATGAGGAGGGCTTGGAGCACAGTGGGCACTGAAATAATAGAAAAGCGTTCCCACCGCCTCACTCTGTTCTGGAGTCTCATTTTTTTGCACTTAAATTAAAAAAAAAAAAAGTTTTACACAAATATAACATCTGTATAGAAAGGCACACAAATCCCAGTGAACTTTCACACACCGAGCAAGCACATCTCTGCAACCAGCACCTAGACTAAGGAGTAGAACATTCCCCAAATGCCAGGGGCCTCCCTAATTACTCCTTTTGGTCACTCCCCTCCCCTGAGGGTAACCATTCTTCTGGCCTCTACAATTTTGTCTGGACTTGAGCTTTTTATAAATGGAATCATACACTATGTGCCCTTTCAGATGTGGCTTCTTCCATTGGACTTTTTGTCTGCAGAGTCACTCTATGTCACATGGGGCTATAGGATGATATGTTGTCTTCACTGAGAAGTATCCACCACACGAATCTGCTACAACTTTCCTTCCCATGCTCCCTGGGGGACACGGCGCTTCTGTGTGGGGAGCCGCTCTCCTGCCTCTAGCTGGGACCAAGGGCTCTGGGGTGAGGCAGCTCCACATGCTGCTTCCTCCTCAGCGACTGCAGGCTCCAAGAAGCCAGACCGAGGTTTTCTCTGCTGTCACAGACCTTTCTGTCATGTCTGCCCTTTTCCCAGGGCTCAACCCAAAGACCCCCATCCTTTAGGACCCACAATGTCCACAGCCTCATCGAGTCCCCTCACTCTCACTCCAAGGGAATCCCTTCCCTTCGGGAGTCGGGGGGTGGTTCTTAGTCTCTAAGTGCCGGGCTTATCTTCTGAGTCCATTCATTTCCCTCAGGGGGACTAGTGTTTGAAACACAGGAGCCAGAGAGGATCAGCAGGCCCTGCCTTCTGCCTCCTCTCTGCACTTTGATCCCTCCCTCCTTCCTCCCATCTTACCTACAATGTGGGCAGGACTATGTTGGACATGGTTCTTTTTCTAGAAGAGCCTGGCCTCTTCTCAGCCTGCACCAGAGGATAATAAGGCCCCCAAGACCCTGAAATTCCTTCAGACTTACTCGATGGCCTCTAACAACACCACCCTGTGTTGTGACCCAGCCAGGGAACATGAGGTGCTTTACACGGAGCCTGAATCCAGTTGTGACATTCATGTTGGAACGATCCCCTTGGCTCCATCTGGCCCAGCTCAGCCCCTCTTTTCAGCCCCTTCCCCAGTGGCCCTCCTGCACACCGGAAGCTGGGTCAGCCACTGCCCTCCTCAGATGCAGCCACACTCTCTTCTCAGCCAGGCAGATTCTTCCCTGAGCCTTCTTGAACCACTCGTGGCCCCATCTGTAGCCTCCAGAGCATCTAAAAAGAGCAAGAGGGATTTGCCAGCAGGCAGGACACTCCATCCTAGCAAAGATGCCTGCTGGAGGGCCGTGCAGCAAATCTAGGCGCCCTCCCTACATTGATGCCCCTCTCCACCTGCTGCTGGGGCCACTAGAGTTTCAGGACGATCTCAAGACGTTGGTTGCCAAGTGAGGTGGATGGGGCGGGGGGCATTTGGGGAGTGAAGACACATGTAACCTCTCTAATTTCTCTCCGAGCCCACACTGTGATGTGTGATTTCAACATTACATAACTACATCGAAGTAAGTTAGAACCTGAACCATGGCAGGAGACGAGCTTGATTGTACATAAATTAGGAAAATGGAGGCACGATTCAGTATGGTCATCATGCAGAAACTCAGGTGTGCGCACACCGGCACATCTATGATGTGGAAAGGGCTCCCTCTGGTGGCACTCCCAGAGGCTCCCCGCTGCAAGTCCCGGCTCAGGCCCAAAGCCCAAGCCCAGCAACCTGCAGTCTCCGGCCGGACTAGCCAGTTTCACTTGCCGCAAGGCCAAGTTATGACTCCTGATATTCTCTGTCCTGAGATGACACCCAGTTCCAGGAAGAACGTGTTTCTGGGGCAGACTTGCACAGGCATCTCAAGAGACAGTCTGGCCAGGCAGAGAGCCCTGTGTGTCTGGTACTGGGAGCGCCTGCCCAGTGTCCGCACCTCTGTCAGCCCCACTGGACCTGATCGCAGGCTGAGCAGCAGAAAGGGAGCCAGGGCCTCGGGGTGGGGCAGAGGCTTCTGCTCCCTGCCCCTGAATTCTTAGCCATGAGGGCCCTCAAGCCGGTTCTGTTTATGCTGCAAAAGAGGCACCACTCTTGTATGCAGCTCTGTGTTTAGATCACCTTGCCTGTGGCATGAGAAATATTCTGGTGCAGCAGGAGAGGGGGAGGGACCCGGGGCCACGGATGTGCCCTCCTCTAGAGTGGAATGTTGGACAGTTTACTCGTGGGGCCCTAAGAACGTGGTGCAGGTAGGTACATCCTCAGGTACATCCCGGCTGCTGTATACACCATTATTTTCTGCAGGAATCCCTCAGATTCTCAACTTCTGGTTGTTGATTCCATCTAGGAATCCTGTCAAGCCACCAACGTTCGCTCTGCTATACTCCCTGCTGCTGGATCTAGCCTGGCTGGAGACCCCTGGTGACTTGTTGGCATGGAACTCCCAAGGAGAAACCTTCCTGCTGTTTCAGAACAGCAACCCCAGGGCTCCACTGATGCGTCCTCACATTGAATGGTTAGACAGCACCATTTCCTCCTCTCTCATGTCAGATTACTGCTGTAAAGCTTCCTACCTGATCCAGACTGGAGAAAGTGACCAGGACATGATTGGAGGAACTTGTGAGACAGGCTCCTTAACTCATAGCAGAGAGCTACAATGAAAAAATAAAAGAGAAAGCAACAATGAATGCTTGTACGTAAAGACATAGACACATGAGTGAAATCGAAAAGAGAACCCAAAGCTTCCAGTACAAAGCAATGGTGGATAAACTCTAAGATAAAATAAAAAATCCATTTTTAACAAGGGGAGACTATCCTCATGGGTATTCCCAGAAATTGAATATAAAAGTGCAAAAGATGAACAAGGCTGATGCTGTAGCTTTTTGGAGTCTGGATACAGTCAAGGGCAGCTGGTAATTCAAGTCCTGTCAATTGATGACAAAGAATTGAATTGCCCACTTGAGCTGGGGGACCAGAGTAGTCAATTCATATCAAAAATTCAGGAGCTGTGATTGGTCTCTTCCCATTATCTCAAAAAAAAAAAAATAGATTGAAATAAGTTGCTACTGACTTTGCCTGGGACTGTGGCCTACAGAGCATCCAGTGCTGCCCATGGCTGTAACCTAGCCTCCTTCAGCTGTGGGACTGGACCTGATTCATCGGCAGGTCAGGCCAGGGCAGGAGCCCTGGCTGCCATAGAAGACTTCACACCGATCAGGGCCCTGGGGAGGGCAACTGCTCAGTCACTGGGCAAGAAGGAGTGAGGAACCGGAGAAGAAAGATGGAAAACCTGGAAATGACCTGGAAACTAAAATTCCACAATACACAGAAACTAATACTAAGAGAAGCAACCAGCAGCATCAATACTCCAGAGGCAGAATCACGCCTGATGAAGTGAAAAAAACAGAATGGGATCCTCAAAGAGATGACTGAACATATAACGTTTATTAAACAAACAAAGATTAGGAGATAAAGACCAGCAGAAAGGAACCATCACGAAATGATGGAACAAAAAGTATAATTCAATAAATGGTTTCAGAGAGAAGATTATTTGGAAAATACATACAGGGGCTTCCTCGGCAGTCCAGCAGTTAAGACTTTACCTTCCAATGCAGGGGGTAGGAGTTCGAACCTTGGTTGAGGAGCTGAGATTTCACATGCTTCAAGGCCAAAAAAAGAACCAAAACTTAAAACAGAAACAATATTGTAACAAATTAAAGACTTTAAAAATGGTTTGCAAAAAATAAATAAAAATAAAAATGGTTTGCATAATAGTCTGCATAAAAATGAAAAAGAAAGGAAAGAAAATACATATTAATACATATATAAACATCTAATATAAAAATTTTTCTATTATCTGAAAAGGACAGAAGTTCTAGAGTGGCTGAAAGAAAAAGAAATGTACTAGGAATTCCCTGGTGGTCCAGTGGTTAGGACTGTGCTTTCACTGCCAAGGGCATGGCCAAAAAAAAAAAAGTGGTAACAAAAGAAAGGCATAGGCTGATAATTATTTTTTAATTTTATAGTTAAGAAAAAAAATCAAGCAGGTTAGGAATTGGCCATTCTGTAGCTAAGGGCACAGACTCTGAATCCAGGCTTCCTGGGTAGGGCCTTGGACAAGTTCCCTGACCCCTCCCTTCTTGTTTCCTCCATAAAAATGAGATTAATCGTTGCACTGGCCTCATGGTGGGTCGGGATTAACTGCTCTACTACATGTGAAATTCTTAGAACAGTAGCTGGCACACAGAAAACGTTCAGTAGTTATTTCTCCTTTATATTGTACCATGTAAGAAATTGAAACCCAATTCACAGCAGTGAAATCATAACTAATTAACAATTACAGTGAAAAGTTCAACTTCATTCATAATGAAAGAAAATTAAAATAGAATTCAAATTTTTACCTTTATATTTGGTAAAGACTCTTAAAATGACATAGAATATCCTTTCTCTAACCACAGGGGGTATCATTTCCTAAAAATATTCTTGGATAAAAACATTGTGATTAGGGAATTTAGGACTTTATGCAAAGTTAGGAGTTTGGGAGATCAAAATTATCAGAAAACCTGCGTTTAAAAAGGTTGTATGCCACCTCACCATTAGGATGGCTACTATCAAAACAGAAAATAACAAGTGTTCGTGAGGATTTGAAGCAATTAAAACACTTATGCACTGTTGGTAGAAATGTAAAATCATGGAGCCACTGTGGAAAACAGAGTAGTGGTTCCTTAAGAAATTAAAAACAGAATTACCATATGATCCAGCAATTCCACTTCTGGGGACATACCCAAAATAACCAAAAGCAGAATTTCAAAGAGATATTTATATACCCACGTTCATAGCAGCACTATTCACAACAGCTAAAAGGTGAAAGGTGAAAGCAATCCAAGTGTCCATCAGTGAATAAATGAGTAAACAAAACATGATCTACACATATGATGGAATATTACTCTACTTTAAAAGAAAACAACTCCTAAACCTGTGCTCTAGAGCCCATGCTCAGCAACAAAAGAAGCTACCACAATGAAAAGCCTATTCATTGCAACTAGAGAGTAGGCCCCACTCGACACAACTAGAGAAAGCCCCTTGGTGTAGCAGGGAGACCCACCACAGCCAAAATAAATAATTAAAAATAATAAAGGAAGAAAGAAATGGGAATTCTAATACATGCTACAACATGGATGAACCTTGAGGATATTACTTTCAGTGAAATAAACCAGCCACAAAAAGATAAACACTGTAAGATTCCACTTATAAGAAAGAGTCAAATTTGTAGAGACAGAAAGTAAGATGGTGGTTGCCAGGGGCTAGAGGAAGTGGGGAATGAGAAGTTGTTTCACGGGGACAGAGCTTGTCACACAAGATGAAAAGAGTTCTGGAGAGGATGGTGGTGATGGTCCCACAGCAAAGTGCAATTTATTAGTTTGTTGAGCAGTGAACAGTAGGAGCCTGGACTCAGTAACGATCTTTTTTTTTTTTTTATTTGACATATAGTTGATTTACAATGCTATGTCAATCTGCTGTACACCAAAGTGACTCAGTTATACACATATAGACATTTTTTTATATTCATTTCCATTATGGTTTATCACAGGATATTGAATAGAGTTCCCTATGCTACACAGTATGACCTTCTTGTTTATTAAGACTTTCTTTTTTATATTCTTTTCCATTATGGTTTATCACAGGATATTGACTATAGCTCCCTGTGCTGTACAGTAGGACCTTGTTTATACTCGGTAACAGACTTGATTTCCTCCAACTGTCTTTGGTAACATCTTTCACTGTGGATGAAAATTCTGGCTTTAACACAAGGGTGTGTTTGCTCTGCCTTATGTGCCATTTTATCAGATCATCAAGATCTTAGCTATCACCAGGGATCAATTTACATTTTTGCCATGCTGCTTTCTCTTCCTTTCTTCAGCAAACACTCAATGTATTCCTGTATATAAGAAATGATTTAGGGTATTTTCCTGAAGGTTTGCCATTTTGACTTATTCCTCACAATCAGCAGTTTTCAAGAAAACCTGCTTTTGCTGGGAGCTGTGCCTCCATCCACATATCTGGACCCTGGATGTTTCCTGGGTGTCAAAGCACCTCTCCTAGGATTTCCATGTTGTCCTTATGGGGCTAAAAACAAACTTAGGAAGCTTCTTGAAGGGAAACTCCCTGGCAGTCCAGTGGTTAGGACTAGGTGCTTTCACTGCTGGGGCCCAGGGTTCAATCCCTGGTTGAGAAACTAAGATTCCACATGTTGCTCAGGACAGCCAAACTGAAAAAAAAAAAGAAAAGCTCCCTGAAGCCTGGAACTCTGAAGCACTTACTGTTTATTCTCAACCCCTACATAGTGCCTGGGATATTTATCAAATGAATGACTCCATCCATCTAAGATAAATATTAGAAAAAGTCCTTTAAAATTCCCCAGGGTCAAAAGTGTACAGAAACACAAAATAAACCCTGCATATTTTCACTTTTTCAGTTCCTTCTTGTCATCACCGCTCTCATGCCCCCTCCTCCTCCCAACTCCTCAGCCTCAAAGACCCACAGTGGACTTGGGCACCCCTTACCTCGGACTCCAAACCCCATAAGCACCAAGTCATACCCAGATGCAACCAGAAGGGACAGCCTAACACTCAGGGATCAACTGCACTCATCCTCAGATTCCCATAGGACTCAGCACTTCTCTTCACAGGTGGGATTCATGTTTTAGTCCAATAATGTTAAGATTAGCACTAATTCCTCATTGATCTCTTTACCCACTTGGAGATTCAGTGGCTCAATAATGAGGCGTTTATAGCAAAGGGAAGTACATGTCAGATGCAGCATAGGCAACCCATTCTTGCTGTCAGGGGGCTTTCTGCACACACACACACATGCACACACACTCACGCACATGCATGCGCACACACATGAACACGCGCGTGCACTCACACACACAGGAGGGGAAGAAAATTCAGGAGGCCCATCTTAGGAATTTTAAGGTTAAGATGTCTTCATGGAGCGGAAACCATATCAAAAGTATCTACTTAAAACAGACACTTGGAATGTGCTTTCTTGTGGGCATTTTCAGCAATGATTATCTAACAGTGTTTTGTTGGGGTTGTTTAGGGTGGCAGCCTTCCCCCTTCCTTTAAAAAAAAAAAAA